AAGAAGAAGAAGAAGAAGAAGAAGAAGAAGAAGAAGAAGAAGAAGAAAGGGAGGAGGAAAAGAAGAAGAGAGGGAGGAGGAGAAGGGGAGGGTAGGAGAAGGAAAGAAGAAGGAAAGAAGGAAGGAAGGAAGGAAGGAAGGAAGGAGAGAGAGAGAAAGAAAGAGAGAGAGAGAAAGAAAGAATGAAAGAAAGAAAATTATGATTAGTAGTTGTGAATTTATGATAAGCCTCCAATTCCACTTTTTGGCAAATGTTTGTAAAGCATAGCAGTTGCTTAACTGACCTCCTGTGCACAGCACTATCCTCCCATCACACAGCAGAGGTTGGCTCCATGGCTTTTACACAACACAGCTGAGGACAGTTGTACCTGGCACATTTGGAAGGCCCAATCTATGCGCAACCGGTGTAATTTCTGCCTGCTTTGCATTATCTGATATTTATACAGTTGAGAAAGTCCAGAAATATTTCACAAGAAGAGTTCTCCACTCCTCTACTCGTTGCAGAACACCTTATGACACCAGACGTGAAATTCTAGACTTAGAAAACCTTGAATTACGCCATCTTCGGTCTGATCTAAGTATAGTATATAAAATCATACATTGCAATGTCAATGAATACTTCATTCATTCATTCATTCATTCAATGAATACCTGTCAATGAATACTTCGGCTTCAACCATAACAACACAAGAGCGCACAATAGATACAAACTCAAGGTTAACCGCACCAAACTTGATTGCAGGAAATACGACTTCAGCAATAGAGTAGTCAGTGTCTGGAATATTCTACCTGACTCTGTGGTTTCTTCCCCAAACACTTTAACCTTAGACAATCTACTATAGACCTCACCCCTTTCCTAAGAGGCCTGTAGGGTCGTGCATAAGCGCACCAAGGTACCTACCAATCCTGCCCTATTTCTTTTTATTTTTCTTATATATATATATATACGTTTCATGTATTCATGACTATGTTTATACTTATACCTGTTATTTTATAATCACTAGATAGATAGATAGAAAGGAAGAAAGAAAGAAAGAAAGATAGATAGATAGATAGATAGATAGATAGATAGATAGATAGATAGATAGATAGATAGATAAATAGATAAGCCGGCTCCTCGGTGGAGCAAGATACGGATTGTTAGCCTCCTCACGTGGGGCAGATTACAAAATAAATCCCAGTGTGAAGGCACGATGTGTGTCCCTGTTTTTATACTCCCTGTTAAGTAAGCATAAATTTAGAATTGTATTATAATGCCCAGAATTTATTCCCAGGCCAAGGGATTAAAGTCTTGAGATAAATGCCCAAGTCGTTTTTGAAGCAATTCCCTTCCAGCAATGGAAGGAACAATGTGTAAGGATGAACCCTTCATTTTTATTGTCTTGTTTACTCCTATGGGTTTAGTTTGCAATTCTTCACGCAGGGCGAGGAGTCCTTGGTGTTCTCCCAGTTGGTTGTTTGCTTCCAGGTGTTTCGTTACCCAACCCTGCCACATCATCATCATCCATGTGAGGAACATGTGACAGTAGAAAAATTTAAGCATGCCGAAAGTCTAAATCCAAGCAGCTCAGATAAGCAGAGATTAACACCAGATAAAAGAGCAGGCAGAAAACAATTCCCTAATCCAGAATTGACGAAACCACATAATTGTGGCACTGACAGGATCGTCTTCTGTATATAAACAGGAATGAAACTCCACACTTCGTCGCACTGATGATGTGACCTGGTTGACAAAGGAAACATCTGCAAGAAAATCACCAAGCTCAGAAAGCACCAAGGAACCCAGAATCTTCCTCCTCCTCCTCCTCCTCCTTCTCCTTCTCACAACCCCACCCCCTTTCTAGCACTGATGATGTTGCCTAGCTTGGTAATGAAATGCAAGAAAACCACCAAGCTCAGAGAGCACCAAGGACCCCACAATCATCCTCCTCCTCTTCCCTTCGCCTCCTCCCTACAAACCCCACTCCATTCTAGCATGGATGGCGTTGCCTAGCTTAGTAATGAAACGTCTTCCAGAAAACAGCCAAGGCTCAGGCACCGTCAAGTCTCAGTCCTGAGCTAGGCAGAGATTCCCTTCTATTGAAACACTGATAAAAACAAGTCCGTACAATTGAGCGTATTTCAAGATTGCTACGGAGGAAAATAAAAAAACTGGGCGGAGTTATCACAAAGCAAGGAATTTTTCTCAGGCTGTGTGGGTCAGGGGAAGCCACTCACTCGTGCGTGGCTGTAACGTTTTCAGAAAAGACAGAAACAAAGAAAGGGCTTGACACCATCTTGCGAGTGAAAAACCTCAACTTTTTAAGAGCAGACTGTTTGCAGCTGCTAAATTTGGATGCAAGGCTGGTCTCAGCCTGTCTTTTTCGGTTTGGATCGAGGGAAGCGGTTGGTCTCTTTCCAAGACTGAATCCACTGTCTGGATCTTCTTCTTTATTTCTTTTCCATTTAGCGTCACTCCATCCATCCAAACATATGATGTTCTATTCATTAAATTTGCACAGAATAACGACCGCAAACCGTTCAGCCTCGGTTTGTGACGAACGCAGCTTGGATTTTGTAAAATAAAACTGTTGGGAAGCACGCAGCACCCTTTGTTTGATTTTAATTGGAGGAGCCCGTGCAACCATGGACAACCCTGGGCCTCATTTAGACGGAAGCCAAAATAAAATTATGGGTTTACCTGCCATTTAGAAGGACATCTCTTTCCTGCTTAAACGGGGGTTTAAATCATGAAAAAAAAAAATTCCTTTCTAACTCCTAATTTCAGCATTCCAGAAAACCTCCACTCCAACAAATAATTCTGAGTCAATCATCCTCTTCAAAGTTTTTTATTTGAGTGGTAAACTTGCACATCTGGGAAATCCCGAATCTGAAAGTTCTGGGTTTCCTTCCAATAAGTAAAAAACTACAAATCCACCCCCTGCACCCATCATCGCATCACAGGCCTCAATCTCTATCCATCCCAACTTGAGATGTCCTCTCACCCAGGTGCAGAAACGACATGACCTTGACTTAGAAGAAGAAGGCTATTACGTCTATCCACATACGCTCCAAGAAATTCCCCCCCCCCTCCCATTTTCCCAGACTCAAGAAATGTGGCGGCGTGGAAGCTTCCGGTGCTAATATGGCTTCCAAAGCTGACACCTGATTTGTTTTGTCGTGCTCTGTGTTCTCTTGCAGGGAATATAGGGAGAAAAAGAACATTACTTTCCATAGTAACAAAACCGTCTCCTTTCTGAATTACCGCTCGTTTATATTCCAACCGGACCGCTCCAATGGATTGGAATCTGATTACATCATGATGCCGAATATCTTAGTTTTGGTAAGCAGCCTTCCAACTCTGGGGAAGCCATTTCTGGATTTTTGTGCAAAGGCTCAATTTTTCACCAATTTTGTTTTTTGGTTTTTTTTCCATTTTGGGGCTTCACCTAGCAATGCATTTCCCAGAAGGACAATTGACCCTACCCTGTTTCCCTGAAAATACGACCTACCTTGAAAATACCGTGTTTCTCATATAATAAGGCTGGGTCTTATTTTTTTTTGAGCCCCGAAAAAATGGCTAGGCTGTCTTTTCAGGGGTGACTTAATTCCCCCCACCCTTGCATCTTTGGGCAGGCAGGTGGCGATGGCTTGGATGTTGACCTCGGCGTTGGTGAGGCACTTAGTATCGGGGTCAATGCAGGCAGCACCATATCCGGGTGTGCAACAAAAGTACTTCCTAACGGCAAGCCCCCCCCCCATTTCCCCCCATTTCACATGTTTTAATATAGGCCTTAATTTGGGGGGAGGGGCTTAATTTCATTTCATGCCTATAAAACATGCTGGGACTTCCTATTGGGGAAGGCCGTGTTGTTGGAGAAACAGGGTAAGTCCTAGCTTGATTTTTACATGTGAGCCTAATATAAGCCCTACCCCCAAAATAAGCCCTAATTAAGATCCCATCCATTGCATCCACTGTGCAGCTGCCTTGCTACTTACCTTTGGACAGTTGTAGCCAGGCCTTGCACACCCCGACACCTGCCTTGCCAGCCCATTTCTTCTGCAGCCGGTAAGGCTGGCAAGGCTTTCCTGAAGGCCTCTGTAGCTGATAACGAAGTTCCAGATTGATCCAGAGTTATTGGCTGTTATCGGATGCAGAGACCTCCAGGAAAGCCTTGCGGGCCACTGAAGAAGTTCCTGAAGGCCTCTGACAGCAACGCATGCAAGTGACATTAGTCAGTGAATGACGTGCTCCAAAAATAAGACCTGGTGCCTTTTTTGGTGGCAAAAAAAATATAAGACAGGGTCTTATTTTTGGGAAAACACGGGTACTTGCTTTTCATAAATTCAGATAAGACTGTTCTATCCCAGCAACTGTGGTGGCTAGGCTTCATTGTATTATTGCACTAAAAAAATGTACTACACAGATTGTTGGTTTTGCTTCCCCTTGGAGTGCACTCAAAGTCTCGGTAGAACAGGGCGATCTGCAAATATGCAGAGAAATTGGTAAATAGATACTTGCAAACTTCTGCAGGATTGCAGGAAAGCCCACAGATGAACAGGTTCCAGAATTTCTCTATATGTTTCAGAAATGAAGCTCCAAGGTCACCAAGGAATTGGGTTTGTTTTTTTTTTTTAATCTGCAAGAAGAGATCCAGGGCTAACCTTTGCATACTCAGAAATAAATATAGTTTGTTGATAGTGGGCTTTACGGATGCCATTTTCTTTGAAGGCCAAAGAGAAGACAGGGAGTTATTCCTGTTAAAGAGAAATGTTAGTTATACAAGGGGGTTTCCATGTCATTTCTGACGATTCCCAGCTCTCAAACAATTGGACGTGGATGAGTGACAGTTTTAATGATAAGTCATGGTTTGATTTAAATGTGGTTTAGTGGCATACTTCCAAAGGTGTGGGCCCAAACAGAATCAGATGGATATCACCTCCTCAGTGAAACACAAACTGGATGAGCAATTAGGAAAGGCACCTCCATGTTTACAGAAGAGGAGAATAACATAATAGTTGGAAGAGACCTCGGAGGTCTTCTAGTCCAACCCCTGCTGAAGCAAGGAACTCTACACCATTTCAGACAAACAATCTCTTCTTGAAAACCTCCAGAGATGGAGCGCCCAAAACTTCTGGAGGCAAGGTGTTCCACTGTTTAAATTAAGTCAATTAATTAATAGCCATAGCCTTTAGACTTATATACCACTTCAGAGTGCTTTGCAGCCCTCTCTAAGCAGTTTACAGAGTCAGCCTCTTGCCCCCAACAATCTCGGTCCTCATTTTACCCACCTCAGAAGGAGGAAAGGCTGAGTCAGCCTTGAGTCTGGTGGGATTTGAACTGCCAGATTGCAGGCAGCCAGCAGTCAGCAGAAGTAGCCTGCAGTACTGTACTCCAACCACTGCGACACCATGGCTCAATTTACGGCAGAATTAGCCTGCAATACTTCATTCTAACCACTGGGAGGGAAGGGAGGGTGGGAGGGAGGGAAGAAGGAAGGAAGGTAAAACAGAAATTGCTTCACCGTGCTCTCCAGCTCTCTCTAAGCGATTTACAGAGTCAGCCTGTTGCTCCCAACAATCTGGGTCCTCATTTTACCGACCTCAGAAGGATGGAAGTCTGAGTCAACCTTAAGCCTGGTGAGATTCAAACTCCTAATAGGCAGCAGAATTAGCCTGCGATACGATATTTCATTGTAGCAACTGGGAAGAAAGGAAGGGAAGGGAAGGGAAGGGAAGGGAGGGAGGGAGGGAGGGAGGGAGGAAGGAAGGAAGGAAGGAAGGAAGGAAGGAAGGAAGGAAGGAAGGAAGGAAGGAAGGAAGGAAGGAAGGAAGGAAGGACAGAAATTGCTACAGTGCTTTCCAACCCTCCCTAAGTGGTTTACAGAGTCCGCCTCTTGCCCCCAGCAATCTGGGTCCTCATTTTACCCACCTCGGAAGGAGGGAAGGCTGAGTCAGCCTTAAGCCTGATAAGGTTCGAACTCCTGGTAGGCAGCAGAATTAGCCTGCAATGCTTCATTCTAACTACTGGGAAGGAAGGGAGGGAGGGAAAGGAAAGGAAAAGGAAGAAAGGAAGGAAGGAACGAACGAACCAACGAAAGAAAGAAAAACAGACATTGCTTCACAGAGATTTACAGCCCTCTCTAAGCAATTTACAGAGCCAGCATATTGTTAGCACATTACCTCCAAACAATCTAGGTCCTCATTTTACCCACCTCGGAAGGATGGAAGGCTGAGTCAACCTTGAGCCAGTCAGGATCGAACTGCTGGCAGTGGGGCAGAATCAGCCTGCAATCGTGCCATCTAACCACCGCACTACCGTGACCAATTCCTAAAACTATTCTCCCCGCCTGTTTTGAATCTTCTGTTTATTTTAATTTATTTCCCTTCCAGGGAGCAGCTGTCATATTGGAAAAGATGCCGTTTCCCGTGAGGTTAACCTTCAGCAGCGCCCTGGCCCTCTTTCGTCAAAACGCGTTCATGAACCGGACGGTCGGCGAGATCGTTTGGGGGTACAAAGAACCCTTCATTAAATTCCTGAGCAACCTCGGGGTCACCATCGGTCCCTCCAATGAAAAATTTGGCTTATTTTCCGATGTAAGTCTGGTCCTTGGGGTTGGGGACTGAATCCAAACCTGAACTCTTGGGGGATCGAAATGAGCAGATATCCTTCAAGAACAGAGACTTCCTTCAGGAAAATGACAGCTGTCGTATTTATGGAAAGAAAAGATCAGAAACTTGCCTTCTCGTTATTATTTTTTAACCAGGTTGAAGAATATACAGGGGGTCCTTGATTTACAACAGTTCATTTAGTGACAGAAGTTACAGCGGGGTTGAAAAAAAAAGTGACCCGTGGCCTTTTTTCACACTTGTGACCGTTGCAGGCTCCTCATGGTCACGTGATCAACATTCAGATGCTTGACACAACTGACTCGTATGTACGATGGTCACAGTGTCCCATGGGTCACGTGAACCCCTTTTTTGTAACCTGCCAAGTCAACAGGGGAAGCCGGATTCACTTAACAACCATGTGACTAATTTAACAACTGCAGGGATTAACAGTGGGCCGGTAAGCTCTTAAAATGGGGCAAAACCTTCACTGTCTCACTTAGCAACGAAGATGTTGGGCTCCATTGTGATCGTAAGTCAAGGATTTTTGAGTGGTGGATGTTCCCCTGATGTTAGGCATTTCATCATGGTTGTTGTGGTCCACCAGCAGCCTGCGGAGATGGCAGCAGAGTCGGACAGTGGGGAGGAACATGGGCCAATCCTGGAGTCTGGAGAGGCCTCAGACGAGGGATCTGCATCTGGCACAGAGATAGGGCCAGGGCCATCTGAGAGCTATGTGCTGACTCCGGAGCCTCCAGAATCTGACAGCAGCGAGGCAGAGGAACAAGGGGAGCCTGTTCCCAAAGTGTGCTTGCACAGAGCTGCCAGAAGGCTAAGATAAAAGGGGCAACTTGGAGGTGATTGGCCCTCCCATAAGACATAAAGGAGGAGCAAAGGGACAGGAACCTTTGCAGGAAGCAACTTTGTTCGTACTGGTCAGTTTGAAACCTGAAGTTCCATGTTGCATTTGTACTCCGTTTGGTCTTGTTCAACTATTTGACAATTTAGTTGTTGGCAGCCTTTCAAGGAAGATAAAGGTGCGTGCTTATCAGGCTTATCCCGAAGGACTTAGGCAGATTTCCATGGGACTATTTACAAACTGTTTGAGACTCATTACGGGCTGTGAATGACTATAATTCACAGCTGTTGAAATAAAACAGAAGGTTTTTGGGACTAACGTGTTTGTTAAAGTCTCAGGAAACCTTGTTCAGAACAATGGTCTCCTTCCAAATTAATACAGGAAGTGTTGCATTGCTGCAACCTGTTTGAGCAATTCTGCCCGATTTCCATCTTAACTTTGAAATGTTGGCCAGATGTATTTCCCCAATTTTTATCCCAGCCAACCAGCATAACCAGTGGTTAGGGAGGATGGCAGTTACTTCCTGAATATAGACACACAAAATTAACCAAAGTTCAAGGAAGCCAAACATTAATAGTCCACTCCTAAAAAAATTAACAATGGTGGGAAAATTATGTGGATGGCAAGTTTAAAAATTACACTAAACTCTAATTGAAAAGAAAAGTTTTATAAGATGATGTATCGCTGGTATTTAGCACCAGGTGAGTTATCCAGAATGTAATAAAGGTATATCAAATGAATGTTGGAAGCGTAAAAGCAAAGAAGGAACTTTTTTCCAGTTAGGGTAGACATGTGATAAAGCAACGAAAAATATTATTATTCTAATACAGAAAATTCTTTAAAATGAAAATTAAAAATGAAACCAGAAGCTTTTCTTTGGGGTTTAATGGAAAAAGACTTGAAGAAAAAAAATTGGAACTTTGATCTTATATATGTTGACAGCAAAAAGACTAGTTTATGCACAAAAACAGACATTTTTATTCCCACCATGAATGAACAGCTGCAGGAGCTGATGGTGTTGTCAGAAATGGCTAAATTGACTATTTTGGTTAAAAAAAAGAATAGTTTTCATATGGAAACCGCTTTTGGAGTTTGTGCTTGAGATGGAAAAAAAATGAAATTTGATTATGGGTTTTATCAATTAGACTGATACGTGTTTATAGAAATAGCTAGTTTATATTACTATGGAAAAGCAAAAAGTTGTGGTTTGATGTTAAGGCCTTTTTTACTGCAAAAGAGGGAGTCAGAAATCGACGTTTCTTCTTTTCTTTTCCTCAGTTTCTCCTTACTTTTCTCTCCCCCTTCCCTTCCCCTCCCCAAACTGGGTCTTCCTATTTACTTTTGCATTTTCTAATTTATCTTATAACCTAATAAAAGTGCTAAACCAAGAAACTTAACAATGGAACCGGCTTTAATTCAAAGCTCCAGCAGGTTTTTCGTGCTTCCCTGAAATGTCTTTCATTAGATTAACAGAGTTGGAAGGGGACCTTATCAGTCATCTAGTCCAACCCCTTTTTCCAGTTGGATCAGGGATTAAAAAAAATTATCCTCAGCCGAACGGCCACAATTGAGCCTAACTTTTCCATTGTTAAGCAAAACATGGCTTACGTGAGTTTTGCTCCATTATACAAACGTTCTTGCCGCTGTTGTTAAGTGAATCCCTGTACAGTTGTTAAGCTTGTAACACGGTTGTTAAGTGAATCTAATTTTCCGATGGACTTGGCTTTGTCAGGAGATCGCAAAAGGGGATCTAGTGATCCTGGGACACAGCAACTGTCATCAACATGAGTTGCCAAGCACCTGAATTTTGATCATGTGACCATGTCAGCTTTGGAAGACATATTAGCACCAGAGGCTTCCATACTGCCACATTCTTGAGCCTGGGAAGATGGGAAGTGTTCTGACCAAGGCTACTGAGACCGTAATTAAGCACATGCTTAGTCAAAATAACTCTTGTTTTATTTCAATGCTGGGAATTATGTGCATTCCCAGCCCATAATGAGTCCCAAACAGTGCCTCGAGATAAGCACCCACCCTTCTCTCTATAAAATGGCTGCCAGCAACTAAAGTGCCAAAGGAACTGTAAAAAACCAGCCAAAGTACAAAGTCCACACAGAGCTTCAAGATTTAATCTGAACAGAGCGAACAACTTTGCTTCCTGCAAAGGTTTTCCTACCTTTCCCTGTCCTTTATACATTATGGGAGGGGCAGTCACCTCCAAGCCTTACTCCCAAGTCGCCCCTTTTGTCTTAGCTGCTCTTGCCTTCTGGCAGCTCTGCGCACATGCGCACTGGGAATAGGTTCCCCATGTTTCTCTGCCTCATTGCTGCCAGATTCCGAAGGCCTTGGAGGCAGCACCCCACTCCCAGATGGTCCTGGCCCCATCCCTTCATCAGGCACAGGACCCTCGTCCGAGTCCTCTCCAGATTCCTGGACTGGTCCCCATTCTTCCCCAATTCTGCTGCCGTCTGCACAGGCTGCCAGCGAACCGCAACATGAGTGGGGATTTCTTGATTGTATGTGCTTAGATATAATAGCATCTTTCTTCTAAGTTAAGGTCATGGTATTTCTGCACCTGGGTGAGAGGACATCTCAAGTTGGGAAGGATGGAGATTGGGGCATGTGATGCGATGATGGATGCAGGGGGTGGATTTGTAATATTTTACATATTGAAGGAAACCCAGAACTTTCAGATTCAGATTTTGCCAGATGTGCCAGTATAACTACTTTAATAAAAGGAAAACTTTGAATAATGGAATGTGCGTGAGTAGATTAACAATGGCAGTCAAAGAACAGGAAGAAAAAGAGTATTATAAGATTTGGAATTTATTTTATGAATGGTTAGACAGAAGAGTAAAAAACTAAAATATGTGGTCATAGTAATAACATAACTGATTGGTTTTGAATGAATAAGAGAATGAATATAACTTAGTAAGGATGGGTTATATTTTTGAAAGATAACTATAATGTTAATGATAAAATTATAATCAAACAGTATGATATAAAATGTTGATTAGAATGGCTATAAACATAATTAAATAAGAAATGTATGATAATATCATTATGCACACAAGATATATGTACCCAATCGACACACTGTAAGAATCAGAAGATGGTTTTATTTGTTATTTTTGTTTTAAAAATGAAAAAAAGATATTTTTTTTTTAAAAAAAGGAAAACTGAGAGGAAATGCCTGTCTCGGAGTTTTTAATTGGAGTTGGGTTTTTCTGGAACGCTGACATGGGGTGTTGCAACGGTCATAAGTGTGAAAAATGGTCATAAGTCACGTTTCAAGGCTGCGGTAACTTGGAATGGTCACAGAACAAATTGTTGTAAGTCGAGAACTAAATCTGTATAGGCAATTTACCTCTCTGCCCTGGCTCTATGACCTACTATGTTAAAATAGAAGCCTTTGCATTCCTGTATTCTTTTTTCCTAAAAAAAAATTAGTCAACAGGGAGTCCAACTTATTGTGTAAAAGTGTGTAAATCGCCTAACCGGTTCTCCTTTTCCATTGCAGTTAAACAATTCCCACTCGGGCCTCTTCACGGTGTTCACAGGCATGGACGATATTAACAAAACTCACATGGTGGATTCTTGGAATGGATTAAAAGAGGTAAAACGAAATAAATATTTTCAGTCCCTGGTTATTATTATTGTTATTATTATTTTAAATGAAGAAAAGCTGAAACGCCGTAATGAAAGAATTCTTGTCACTGCTGCATAATTAAATGGGAGCCCATCTGTCAGAAATGGTGTAGGGCAGGGGTGGCTAACCTTTTGGGGCGCCTGTGCCGAAAATTGCATGCGCCCTTGCATGCTTGCACTCACGTGCCAGCACCCAGAAGGTAATGTGCGCCCCCCCACGCCCTCCATGCATGCGCGCATAATCCCACCCACCCACCCTTGCCACCCCCTTACCTGCACTGCGCCTCACAGCTGATTTTTAGCCGGTTTGAGGCCTTTTTCGGCTTCCCAAAGGCTTGAGGAAGGCTTCTGCGGGCTTCTGCAGGCTTTGTAGGCCGAAAACTAGCCCCGTTTTGTCACTTACAGTATTTTCTGTGAGGCACGTGCATGCCTAGTGAAGTACGTTTGCCTGAAGCTCACATGCCAGCACAAATGGCTCTGCATGCTATAGGTTCACCATCACAGGTGTCGGGTTTCCTGCTTGGGCAGGGGGTTTGGACTACATAACCCACAAGGTCCCTTCCAACTCTGTTCACCTGTAAGATCACCCTCGACTAACAACAGCTCATTTAGTGGCCATTCAAAGCTAACAGCGGCACGGAAAAAAAAGTGACTTGTTATGACCGTTTTTCACACTTACAACCATTGCACCATCCCCATGGTCAAAATTCTAACTGAACTCACAGTTATGACCGTTGCAGTGTCCCGGAGTCACGCGATCACCTTTTGCAACCCGCCTGGCCAGCCAAATCAACAGGGAAGCCAACGCTGTTACTAAAAAAAAAAAACCTACGGTGATTGACTTAATAATGGTGTCAAGAAAGGTGGTAAAATGAGGCAAAGCTCACTTCACAAATGTCTCACTTAGTAACAGGAATATTGGCCTCAAGTGTGGTCGTAAATCAAGGACTCTACGTGCATGTGATGACCCAGGGTGGGATACAAAAGCAACAAAGTCGCCAAAACATGTGAAGTCCCTTTAATTCCTTCAACTTGGCTTCAAAGGTCCAATTATCATGGACTGGAGAAAAAAAATTTATCCACAAACAGTTGTGAAAAGGAAGACCTTCTGTTCAAACTCAAAATACGTATAAATTATAAATAGAAAAAAAACTACAACACAAGCCACGCTGAAGCAATTAAGGAGACCAGGCAGGATAAGGGCTTGAAGACAGTCCGCAGATATTGAAATACACACACTGGGAAAGGACACCAGAACTCAAATAAGAACTGTAAGACGAGAAGTATTTTTACGCTTTGCTTCCAGCACTGGCCCATGAGCAGTTTGTCCTTTTAAAACAGTCCTCACAGCTGCAGCCCATGAAGGGGATCAAGGCCCTTCCTCCCTGCCCCCCGTAGACCACACCATTCACGTTTATCCGCTCCTCCCTGCATGCCCTAGGATGAAGATAGGATGGGCCAAGGTCTTCCTCTGAATACCCAGCTGTTCTGTGCCCTTCCCCAGCCTCCTCCACAACCTCCGGAGCCACATTTCCTGTCAGCTGTTCCTTCTCTCTCTCTCTGAGTCAGATTCTAACAGGGGCATGACACTGCATAAGAAAACCAAGTCACGAGTTTTTATGCTTCTTCTCAGCTAAGCTATGCCGTGAGATAAAAGAATCTTATTTCCATTTTTTTTTATTTGCTTGTTTTGCTAACAGACACATCTGATGATTAAGGCGTTTTCCTCTAACCGTGCCAGGATTAATTAGCATCTGGAGCAGGAATTTTACAGCATGCCCTTTGCAAAAAGCAGATTCGTTTTCTTAATGACTGAAACGACGCCTCCGCCATCAGATAGGCGACAGAGATGTTAACTCCCGGCACCTCAGTGTTAGTGGACTACAGCTCCCATCATCCTGATTTTAAGCTTTTTGGGGGTGGGTTGGGGGCTGATGAACACGTAGGTTATAATCTGACTAATCCCAAAGCCTTGAAGCGCTCACTTTGATTGAGATGGAATTTGATAAATAAACATTTTCACATCCAATTAAGCAGCAGACCGTGAATTGTCTTATGTAAAGGAGTTGCAATCCTCGTTCACGTAAACTTGATTTTGAAGGCACATCAAAGAGTTCCTCAAGAGTTTTATTTTCATATTTTATTTTTTTCCAGCTTGATTGGCGTTTTGTGTTTGTTTTTGGTGCAACCTGTTCTATTCAAAGTCCTTGGGGGATTAATTTTCTTTCTTTCTTTCTTTCTTTCTTTCTTTCTTTCTTTCTTTCTTTCTTTCTTTCTTTCTTTCTTTCTTTCTTTCTTTCTTTCTTTCTTTCTTTCTTTCTTACCATAACCTAGCTTCTCATCTTGCATTAAGCTAATTCTTTCCATGCTATTTTTTCTGTGTAGCAGATTGGTGAGCTAATGTCACCAGGGAGAGAGAGAGAGGGAGAGAGAGAGATTGGCCAGGTGACGTTAGCTCACCAGTCTGCTACAGAGAAAATATAGCATAGAAGGAATTACCTTAATGCAAGGTAAGAAGCTGGATAAAGATTTTTATAAGACTGTTGTTCTTAGCTTCAGACTTGGCAACTTTCAGACTTGTGGCCTTCAGCTCCCAGAATTCTCCAACTGGCATGGAATTTTGAGAGTTAAAAGGCCACAAAAGTTGCCAAGTTTGAAGGTTCCCTGCTCCATGAGTTCTCACATCAACCTGGCCTCTAGGTATTAAAGTTCCTTCTCTCTTAACAGGTATCTTATTGGCATTCTGAAGAATGTAACATGATCAATGGAACGGCTGGAGAACTGTGGCCACCGTTCATGACCCCGTCTTCACCAGTGGAACTCTATGCTCCTGATGCCTGCAGGTGACTTGCAAATCCTTATCGCTACAAGACCTTGTCCTACACTAGAATTCTGCCCAACCTTTTGAATACATCTTCAAGTGCAGTGAACATCTTCAAGTGAAAATACATCTTCAAGTGAAATGGCCAAATGGCCAACTTTCATGTCATGCCATCACTCAAATACATTCTCTTGGGATTAGATGGCCGTGAAATGTTGCTGGTGGTCCAATGTGGACCCTTCAACCTCTTCTTCCCCTCAACTTGAAGGTAGCATCTAACCACCCAAGTTGTCCATCTCCATTCTAAACTTTCAGACATGTTTCTTCCTTCATAGTCCATCTTCTTGGTCCATCTTCGTTCATGGTTCATCTTCTCCATTCATGGTCCATCTTCTCCATTTGTGGTCCATCAGAATGCTGGTGTGATGACGCAGGGTATGACACAAAGGCAACACAGTCGAATAAGCTATAAGAGTCCCTTTATTATCTACAACTTTGCCCCCAGTTCCCAGATTACTTTCTGGCTGGAGGAAAACTCTCATAGGAATAGCCTTTAAGTGGAGGAAATTCAGTCCAAAAACAAAGTACATGCATACTGTAATTAAAAATCCAAACACCAAGCTGAAGTAATTAACTTGACAAGGGCAGGAGAAGGAATTTCAGACTTGAAAGCATGGCAAAACTCACACAGTTGGGAAGACACCAGGAACACAGATAAGCAAAGTCGACACAAGATAAATGTTCCCAGGAGATGCTGCACTCAGCCTGCATTTCTTATAAACTTTCTTCCCAGTTGTGGCTAATGAAGGGAATCAGGGCCCTTTTCTCCCCCATAAGCCATGCAAGTCATGTTGCTCCCTTCTCCGTTCTTCCCTGTGTGCCCTAGAATGAAGAGGGGATGGGCCTGGGTCTTCCTCTCTCTTGTTCTACCTCTCCCCTGCTCCACCCAACTGGACTTTGCCTTTCCCCAGTTTCCTCCACAGCCAATGGAGCCACACTCCCACACCCTGTCAGCTGCTGGGCCTCCCCCTCCAAGTCAGATTCCAACGGGCATGACAGCTGGTCTTCCAAAGAACTTCTGTCTCAATTAACCTCTCTTTTAATCTGTCTTTTTCAGGTCGCTTAAATTAAACTACACCCAATCTGGAAATTTCAAAGGCATACCAGTTTATCGTTACATGGCTCCGAAGACCCTGTTTGCCAACGGGACCACCTATCCACCCAACGAAGGCTTCTGCCCATGCCGGCAATCCGGAATCCAGAACATTAGCTCCTGTAAATTAAGTACGTGTCTACTGAACCTTTTGGTTGTAGGAAGGCTTTCCAAAATTTTCCATTTTCCTGAAAGGGGCTGGTTTTCGAAGAGGATTTAACGCAAGTAGACTAATAGCGGATGAAGAATCTAAGAACTGAAGGGATGATATTATTAGAATCACATCAAAGAAAAGCTATACATTTGGTTCCCTCTTTCGGTAAAGGTGAGATTAGAAAAGTTTACTCGAAGTAACGCATCTAAAGGGAAGTCATTCTAGAGGATAAAGCACAGGTACAGATTAACAGAGTTGGAAGGGACCTTGTTGGTCATCTAATCCAACCCCGCACCTTAGTAGGAGAAACCCTATATCATTTCTGACAGATGGGCAGTCCAGTCTCTTCTTGAAAGCCTCCAGGGATGAAACTCCCACAACTTCTGAAGGCAACTTCTGTTCCATGGGTTGATTGTTCTCCCTGTCAGAAAATTCCTCCTTATTTCCAGGTTGAATCTCTCTCCTTGTTCAGTTTCCATCCATTATTCCTTGTCTGGCCTTCAGGTGCCTTGGAAAATAGCTTCACCCTCTCTTCTCTGTGGCGGCCCCTCAAATAGTGGAAGACTGCTATCCTGTCTCCCCTGGTCCTTCTCTTCACTAGACTAGCCATGTCCAGTCCCTGCAACCATTCAACATATGTTTTAGCCTCCAGATCTTTGACCATTTTAGATAGATTCAGATTAACAGAGTTGGCAGGGAACTTGTAGGTCATCTAGTCCAACCCCCCGCCCAAGCAGGAGAGCCTACACCATTTCTCACAGATGGCAGTCCAGTCTCTTCTTGAAAGCCTCCAGGGATGAAGCTCCCACAACTTCCGAAGGCAACTTCTGTTCTATGGGTTGATTGTTCTCACTATCAGAAAATTCCTCCTTATTTCTGTAAAGGTACAATTCATGTAAGGTACAATTTACAGAAGTCCATTTAGTGACCCTTCAAAGTTACAACGGCAGTGTAACTTTTCAGTGCCTTTGTGACTTTGAACGGACACTAAACGAACCATCGTAAACCGGGGACTGCCTGTAATTTGTTCTTTTTCATATTCCCGACTCTCCGTTGATTTGACCATCACACGTTCACGTGGGTCTTTCTGCATCCAGGAGTGCCTTTTTCTACCCTCTGGCTGGATGGCCTTTGAGTGTCCCAAATCACATGCTGAAAAGTTCCACCTTTGCAATGATCATGTGCCCAGGAATTAGCAACCAAGGGAGTAAACTTCACGGAGCTTATAGGAAATAGAGACGGCATTTCTTTCTTTGCGTTAATGACACACCGTGACTTCAGTCAGCTTCCTGTTTTTGTGGCTGAGCTAAAAGGAATTCTGTCCAAATTCTTGGCTGACTGCCCAAGCTTTAAGTAGATAAACTGGGTTTGTGCGTTTACATCACTTGTATTTTTCTCTCATGTTTTTTTTTTTTTTGTTCATCTCCCATCCTGAGAGATCTTCTGAGGTCACCGAGGATCAGCCGCCCTCTGTTCGCATTTTCCATTTGCATAAACCTGTGCAATTGTTTTTTAAATTTGCAATTGGCATGATCTGTGTAATTGGTTTTTTGTTAATTGCAATTTGCATAATTCGTGCAATTTGTTTTTTAAATTTGCACAACTTCTGTACAATTTTTTAAAAAGAATTTTCCATTTGCATCACCTGTGCAATTGTTTTTTAAATTTGCAATTGGCACGGCCTGTGCAATTGTTTTTTAATTTTCCATTTGCGTAACCTGTGCAATTAAAAAAAAATATATTTTTTTTTGCAATTTTGCAAAAGTTACAGCCTTGCCCTGGAAATCTTTCGGCTACGCTGTGCTCCTATAAAACTTCAGCCAATAAATAACACGGAGCCGGCTTGCTACACCACTGAGGATTTGACTCAAACAAGTTACTGGTCCTCGTGACTGATGAAACTTCAAAGCAAGGGCCCAAAACAAAAAAATTGGACCTCGTGTAAAGTGGCATAGCTGGCAGGATGAATCCTGCCCATGTTTCCAGGTGATCTTGACATACGACTGTATGTCAACCGATTATGGTCACAAATCAAGTTGATCTTGTGAACAACTCGGTTTTATGACTTTTTTTTAGCAGTGGCAACAAACATAGCCATCGCAAAACAAGCCCATTGTTCACTACGGCACGGTTTCTTAAAGCCAAATCGTCGCAAACCGAGGTCCCAGGATTGCAGGATGTTGCGAAGGACAGCAAATGAAACTGTTTGCAGAGGGGTCATGTGGCTGTAGGCCACTCCTCCCCCAAATTTTAGAACTTCAGATCCAGGTTGCAGGTCCCTTTTTGCAACTTCAAGCGATTGCAATGTCAACTCATAAAACATTCCTATGCCTGTTTTAGTAGTTGCCATAAAAGAAAAAAAAAGGTGGGAGAGGAAGGAAATCTGGAAAAGCAGTGCAGCAGTTTGAAACTGAAATGTGATGACCCAAAGGGATGTGGCATAAAAGCAACAAAGTCACAAAAATAGGTAAAGTCCCTTTTATTCCTCCGACTTGGCCCCCAGTGTCCAGTTATCATCGGCTGGAGAAAAAAAACTCTCCCAAGAACAGTTTTCAAAGGGAAGAAATTCCATCCAAACTCAAAGTACATATAAATTATAAAGAAAAACCACCACAAACCACACGCTGCAGCAATTAACGAGACAGGGCAGGATAAGGGATTGAAAATGTCAAAAGAGAATGAAACACACACACTTGGGAGGACGCCAGAACTCAGATAAGACTTGACAAACCAGAATAATTTCACACTTTGCTTCCAGCAACTTTGCCGTGCGCAGTCTGCCCTTTTAAAGTCTTCCCAGCTGCAGCCAATGAAGGGGATCAGGGCCCCTTCCTTCCCCATAAACCACGCAACTCATGTTGCTCCCTTATCAGTTTCTCCATGCGTGCCCTAAGATGAAGATGGGGTGGGCCTGGGTCTTCCACTGAATGCCCAGCCGGACTGTGACCTTCCCCAATTTCCTCCACAACCACCTGAGCCACACTCCCACTCCCTGTCAGCTGTTCCTCCTCTCCCTCGGAATCAGATTCCAACAGGGGCATGACACGAAAGTATATTCCAACTCTTATCTTTAAAAGATTGTAATCAAAACACCACAGCTTTTGCCCACGAATACATTTAATTGGAGAACGTGAATGATGGCACCCAGCCCGTGAAGGTGCTCAATTGGAGAATCTGGTTTATGAGACACCCGGGGGGGGGAAGGGGGGAAATAAGGGTCACAGGGGACTGTAAATGACGTATGCCAGAATTGGCTTCGCACAGGGCAGTGCCAGTACGTCTCCTCATACTAATAAATCCTTTGAAGTTTTTTGAAGTTTGTCTCGAGGATCATGATTTAATTAGGGCAATTGCTGGAATCCTGACACGCTAAGCCATTGATTGTAAGTCGAGAACTACCCATCGAAAAAAGAGCCTGTTACATTCTGATTTTATTTATGTTCCCCCCTCCCTTTGTTTTAAAGATGCCCCAATATTTATTTCTCAACCTCATTTCCTAAACGCTGATCCGGCTTTATTGGACACGGTAGTCGGTTTGCATCCGAACGAAAAGGACCACGATCTGTTTGTCGATATACATCCGGTGAGTTTGCCTTTTTAACTCCAATTTGGTGATTACGGCTGTTATCAAGGTGATGATTGCAGGTTTTAATGTTTTAGCAATCCTTTCGCTCAAACAGGACAGGTGAGTACAATTCCAGGCAAGTTCCCTGCCCATTTATTTCAACTGATTAGCCCTGTTTACGTTTTAAGGTTTGATTAATCTGAAAAGAATTATTATTATTATTATTTTTAAAAAGAGGGAGCAGATTTCCACACTGTGGGTGGAAGTTATTTTAATGTTGGCTTTGCCATTTTGGAAAACATCCCTCTTGAAAGCATTGGTTTGGTTATTATTATGATAATGGTCACCATTGTTTTGTTTTTGCTTTTACATTTGCAAATGCTACCTTATATTTCCTTTTTTTTAAATTCATCATTGTGCACCTCCCACGGTTGGCTTCAGTGAACAAGGCGGCAGCCAGTATAATTTTGATTAAATAAATAAATGAAATTAGCATTAGCATTTGTATTCTAAAGCAAAATAGCTTGATAATATCTCCTCCATGCAAATTTAAACAACAAAACATTTATTTGCTCAGCTTGTCTTTAATTTTCTAAACTGAACGTGTAATTTAAAAGTTCCTTCACTACTGGATCATAATTTTTTTTTTAAAGTAATGGCTAAAGGTCAGCTAAAGTTTTTAAATGAACTTTGGGGTGCAATTTGAGAAACCCAGGGAAATCTTCGTTGGAAATAAGTACCAGTCTTTGCCATCATTCTTGATTTGCAGTTATTATTATTTTTTTTTAAGATGCAGGACTGAAGTGAACAAATGATTAAATGAATGAATTTTGTGTCTGGAAGGTGCGCACAAATCAAGTTTGTATCTATGAATAAATTGGCCAAGAGGGCCTCGTAGAAAATATGAAATCCTTGTTTAGAGAGAGTTGTGATTAAAATCTGTGTTTAGGGATTTGGCTCTGAGAAAGAGCGCTGTGTGTTATAGAATAGAGTAGAATGAATGAACTGGAAGGGGCCTTTGAGGTCTTCTAGTCCTGCCCCCTGCTCAAGCAGGAGAACCTATCCCATTTCAGATGTCTAGACTCTTCTTTAAAAACCTCCAGCGATGAAGTACCCACAATGTCTGAAAACAAGCTAATTCCACTGGTTAATTGTTCTCATTCTTAGGGGATTTCTCCTTAATTCCAGATTGCTGGATTAATATCCAACCATTGTTTCTTGTCCTGCCTTCAACTGCTTTGGAAAATAATTTGACCCCCTCTTCTTTGTAGCAGCCCCTCAAATACTGTAATACTGCTATCCGTCACCCCTAATTCTTCTTTTCTCTAGACTAGCCAGACCCAAATCCTGCAGCTGTTCTTCATATGTTTTCATCTCCAGACCTTTGATCATCTTAGTTGCTCTTCTCTTAACTTTTTTTCCAAAGTCTCAACATCTTTTTTGTAGCATTGGTGACCAATATTGGTTGCAGTATTCCCAGGTGCGGCCTAAGTTTGGTAGAACCATTCAAAGTAACAACGGCACAGCGGGGGAAAAAAAAGAGACTTACAACCATTTTTCACACTTATGACCATTGCAGCATGCCAACGCTCTCACGGTTTACATTCGGATGCAAAAGTCCACGGGGGAAAAACCACATTCACTTAACAACCGGGTGACTCATTTAAGAGCTGCTGTGATTTGTTTAACAAAGGTGGCGGGGAAAGTCCTCAAAGTGGGGGAAGGGCAAAGTAACCTTTGGGCTCAACTGTGGCCATAAGTTTCGAGGACTGCCTGTATTTCCCCCCAATATTTTCACACAGGCTTCGTGGGGTACAGATCCAGACACCGACCAACAGCATTTGCTCCTCGCTTCGTCATTATTATGAAATGTTGGGTGCTGCAATCCATGCAGATGGGATTCCTTTGCAGACCTTCTGAGCTTTGCCCTTGATACCAGAATTGTTTCTGAAATGCAAAATACCGTTCATGTAGGCAAGGATGCTTCCTGGTACTTGAGAATCGCTTCCTTGGAACTGGTGCCCCACCTCTGCTTCCTTATTGTGTCAGCCTTGAAAGTCATTTTTGGTCTTGGGAGCTTCGAGGCTGCCACATTCGGTGCCTGGGAATTTGGGAGAAGGGCATTTCATAGTGAGGTAGAAGATTGGACTCAACAACATTCCTTTCTCAGAGAGTCAAGGACATGTTGCCCTGCACCTGGAAAGTGGAGGGACGTCTCCAGTTGGGACAAAGATTTCATTGGGCCATGTGATGGACTGATGGAAGCAGGGGATGGATCTTTCGTTTCTCTTTTGGGAAGGGAAAACCTGGAACTTAGATTCAGGTTTTCAAAGATGTGACAATATGACATCTCTCATAAAATGGGGGACGCGGTGGCTCAGCGGCTAAGACGCTGAGCTTGTCAATCAGAAAGGTCGGCAGTTCGAATCCTTAGCGCCGTGTAACAGAGTGAGCTCCTGTTACTGGTCCCAGCTTCTGCCAACCGAGCAGTTCGAAAGGATGTAAAAATGCAAGTAGAAAAATAGGGACCACGTTGGTGGGAAGGTAACAACGCTCCATGCCTGCCAGTCCTGCCGGCCACATGACCACGGAGACTTTTCGGACAGCGCTGGCTCTTCAGCTTTGTAATGGAGATGAGCACTGCCCCCTAGAGCCGGAAATAACTAGCATGGATGTGCGAGGGGAACCTTTAGGTAAAGGTGAAGGTTCCCCTTGCACATATGGTCACTAAACGAACTGTTGTAAGTTCGAGGACCACTTGTATACCAGCAAGCCAGACCGCAGAAGGAGCATGCAATTTCCTGGATAAAATGAACGGCGATTTGGTTCCGCTGCAGACGCGCCCATTTTGTTGACGTGCGTACAACTCGGTGCATGCAAATTATGGGGTGACTTTTGGCCGTTTTGTTCCCTGTGGTCTGATTACATTCCTTTTTGGGTATTTTTTGTTGAGGGGGGTGTGTGAAATAAGATTTTGTTGAATACAACGCCTGGCTTAGAAAGGTCTTGGACACCAAGCCAAAAAGGAAGAAAAAAATAAATAAAAATAAATGGGATCTTTGTAACCCAAACAACTAAATCCATTTCTTCTTTCTCTGCAGCTGACAGGGATTCCCATGAACTGTTCGGTCCAAATACAACTGAATCTGTTCATAAAACACGTTTCTGGCATCTGGTAGGTTTGTGGGCCAAGCGAGGCGAGGGCGGTGAGAAAAGGGGATTTCTTGGGCTCTTCTTGCAAGCCTCTTAATCCCTTGCCAGGGAGCTGGGCAGCCAAGACTGAGTTGGTGGAACAATGCCCCTCACAGAGGCCAAGACTCAGGCTTACAAAAGGGGGGCACGAGGAGGCCAGCCACATGATTTTTTTCAAATGAGTGTTCTCTCTTTGTGCAGGCAAACCGGACAGATTAAGCCTGTGGTTTTGCCCCTAATTTGGTTTTCCGAGGTAAGTGTGGGTCTGTCTGCATGCTTACACACACAAACACATACAAACAGAGAGAGAGAGAAACAGAGAGAGAAAACACCTGAGAAGGATGTATATAGTTTGCATTAACTTTTAATCAGGTTAACCTTCCTCCTTCCTTCTCTCCCTCTTTTTCCTCCTTCCTTCCTTCACTCCCTCCCTATCTGTCTCCTTCCTTCCTTCCTTCCTTCCTTCCTTCCTTCCTTCCTTCCTTCCTTCCTTCCCTCCCTCCCTGTCTTTATCCAAATATTCATTACTTCATTACTGTGTGTGTGTGTGTGTGTGTGTGTGTGTGTGTAGGTCTAGGTGTGTTCGGGTCTTTTCCCGTGTAAGATTAAGAGTAAAAGACCCGAACACACCTAGACCTACGTACCTGTACCCGTGAAAATCTACGAAAACATATATATATGAAACATGAATAGAAGAGATGATTCCACCAGACTGTCAATCATTTGGAAGCCTGCACTCACAGACAAAAAAATATCCACACCACTAGCCAGGCAAACACCTGGGCACAAACAGATCCCCCC